TCTTTTATAATACCTCTAATCTTCGGCTCTTGTAAGTTATATAACCTTTCTGTGTTGTAAGTGCCGTAAAAATCTTACTAAAACAAAGCAGGAGACCCGACTTCGATTCTCGTTTGGGGAGAATTTTTAACGAGTATCTCAATCTTTCTGCTGGGATGGTGTAGCCCTCTCATGCTGGGTTGGCTCTTAAGAATAGGGTAGGATCTAAATTGTGTTTGTGGGGGCATACAAACACCTTGCTCTGGCAATGAACACCTTGAACTATCCGAATTATTTTCTTTTTAGGGCATCAAACTACGAAACGGAAATGACGTTGTTCTCTCTCTCTCTCTCTCTCTCTCTCTTTCTCTCTCTCTGTGTGATTGTGTGTGTGAGTGTGTGTGTGTGTGTATGCGCGTGTGTGTGTGTGTGTGTGTGTGTTGTGTGTGTTTAGAGAAGAGCAGTATATATCTTTTTCAGTAATAGTTTTAGCGAGTAGAGGGCAAAAAGAAATGGATTATTCAAAAGAGTTGATGTCTGTTGATGTCATGTCCCGACGATTCTTTGGTCTCACAATCCTGGCATCTGTCGGGATATGTTGGTCCTTTGTTTAGTGTCATTAGACGTCCGCGTAAGTGACAGCTCAAACTAGGCGCTACGGGTGGTTTATGGGTGCTCTAGTGTGGTTTGTTCCTTCTTTCCTATCAAACATCTTCCAGAGCTTCCGTTATTCCGTGTTTTTACAGAAATCCGTACTTTCTGACAGTTCTGTACTTGCTATCCCATCATTATCAACTCAATCCGTGAATTGCGATAGCGTAGAGCTACTGGAATTCCATAGCAAGGGTAGTCTTGCATCTGTCGTCCTTATCTCTAATCCTTTTCTGTGCTTGTTACTCTCTTGTAACACTTGTAAGCTTCGGCACCACTTATTATGGCCTAATTGCGTTGCAAGTGCCCTAAAACTCTTACTGAAACAAACAAGGCACTACTTCAGAGTTACAAAGTTCTGTCTGCCCAGTGCCTAGTTTTGAGAGTTTGACGTCAAAGATTTTGAGTTTCACATTATGTCTAGCCTTTTCAATTGCAATTCTTTGAATATCTTAATTATAACGACCACGAATAACCTTACGATTTTGATACAGCAGATAGAGCATTTGGTTTTTGAATAACTCAAAACAGCCCAAAATGCCAGATAAAGGTTTGCCATTCTGAGGTCGCAAAGGAGATCGTCAATCCAGACGAGATCAGTTCCCAGCGGGTCCTTCTTTTTTATCGGTGCTTTTGTCTTCTGTACGTACGTGGTGTACTTTTGCTTCTGTGGCGTGTTTCCTTTTCTGTTCCGTCATCTCGTCATTTAGATGATTAAAGCTATTGATTAGCTATGGCACCCCCCCCCCTCCT